AATGGGACCGTGGACTCACCTTCACATCAAGGGTCCCAGTTTTGGGTCTTTTTAACCATTTGAAGCTATTATGCAGCAGACATTTTCTTCAAGGAAGTCCAGAGGAATGTACTTATGTGCCTTTTTATCCTTTGATAATGCAGTAGGGAAATAAGAACGTTCAAATCAACCTAAATACTTCCTGATTTCTCGCTGGTGTCGGTACTTTATTTAAAAGGGTCTGATTTAGTGGCATCCAAACATTGTATGTCTGATTTTTAAAAAAATATGCAAGATACTTATTTGAACAGAACATTTAGAAATCCTTTCCCACTAAAAATATATCCCCAGTATAGCTTTCCTTAGACAATTATTCATAGAGAAAAATCCTAATTTGTGTCTCTAAATAACAGCTTTGGCAAATATTTTGCTTAAATGCGGATGGCTCTTTTCCAGAAACCTGTCGATTGTAAAGTGAATTATTGTGCAATTCAAAGTTTTATAGGTAATTATAAATTTAACATTTACTGTATAAAAATATATATTTTGCAATTCATTCCTACTAAAAATGCACTACTGCCTCAATAAAATCGTCTATATACAACCTTTTAATTTAAGTGTAAAGGGGCAAATTGAATAGTGATCAGTTTTTTGCAATGTACTTGAGGTATTTTGAAGAAATAAATTGTGCCTGTCTTTTTGTAAGAAAAGGGGAAAAATCCATAAATAAAATGCAATAAATCAGCATCTAGTTTATTTTTAAATTTCTTTTGAGGTTGTGTTGTATATTATTTTGATTATTTAATGTGTGTGTTTCTAACTGAGCAGTTTAGCTATATATTCAAATCTAAGAGTGGAACCTCAAAGTGCTGTTGGAAGAAAGGGTCTTACTCCATTTTCCAAAGAAACTGTAATGGCTTGGAGAGAGCTTGGGGATTGACTACAAAACTAAAGAAATCTTCCCCTTATCCTCTGCTTCTATTGAAGCCTGCCTCCACAAGACCAGTTGGGGTAGAGTTCAGCCTTTTCTCTTAAGGGTAGTCAGCTGGGAAGCCAGTAAGTATTTCCACAGTTCTGCACGGCTCATTCTGAAGAGGTCCCCCCCCCCCGAATAAAAAAAAACATGCCAAAGATTTGGCTCCTCGATATCTACTAAATAACATACATGCCTTTCCACACAAGGAATTGCTGCCCCAGAAAGCAAAGAGTTTCTTCAGTGGAGAAATCAAGTGCTGCTCGAGAATTCTTGAGGGGAATATGCTAGTTTTGCCAATACCAGCCTTGGATTGGGAAATACCTGGAGATTTGGGGGTGGACCCTGGAGAGGGTGGAGTTTGGGGTGGGGGGAGCCTCAACATAATATAATGCCACAGAGCCCACCCTCCAAAGCAGCAATTTTCCCCAGGGAAACTGATCTTGGTCATCTGGAGATCAACTGTAATAGCGGGAGAGCTCCAGGTGCCACCGGAGGCTGGCAACCCTATCTAATAGTGAACTGTTTGGCTCCTGTGTGGGTGAATGTTTAATAGAAAGAAGGAATCATTCCATAATCCTTCAAGGGGAAGGCTATATTGAAATCACTCCTGAAGCTTTTTTTTTAGACAGGAAGCATTTTAACTGCTATCACCCAGTGCCCAATATCTCCTTGAATAGTGTCCTTGAGCATATGTTGGCTGCATGACTTCAGGCTTTCTTGGTGGAAACAAAGTGTCTTGACTCATTTCAATCTCTTTTCTCTCCCTCCCAGTCCTGGCTTTGGGGCAAACTACGGGGGGAGGGGGAGTGTGACTTGATTTTGAGAACAAAATTTAAGTCCAGTGGCACCTTTAAGACCAACAACGTTTTATTTGAGGTATAAGCTTCCATGTTAATGCACACTTCATCAGATACATTGAAATGGAAGTTACCAGTCTACCTATATGTATGGGCTGGTAACTTCCATTTCAGTGTATCTTATGAAGTGTGCATGTACATGAACGCTCATACCTTGAATAAAACTTGTTGGACTTAAAGGTGCAGCTGGACTCAAGAGTTTTGTTCTGTTGCCTCAGACCAACACTGTTACCACCACCACCACCCCCAATCTATGTTGATTTTGAGGGACTTCAGTGCCACAGTATTGGGTCACTGTACTTCAGTGGTTTGGTCCTACCTGGCTAGTTTCCCTTCATATCTGAGTATCATTTTCAAGAACTTGAACAGAAATGGGTAAATTGATAAAAGTGCCTGACTTCCCCAGCCTTTTGAGTTGCCAAAGCGCGTTAAAGGGATTCCCATTTGTGTTAGCAATTGCCAACACAGAATCAGTGCGTGGTAGCTTTCTTTTAATGGTGAATGCAAATGAGCAAGATGTCCTTAAGGAGTGATAGCTAAGTAAATTCCTCCGTGACCCTCCGTGCCTCGAACTCGGGAAGGGGGGCTGAGGCTGAACAGGGCAAAAAGGCGGCTTCTCTTCGTACCCAAGCCCGCCTCCCACGCCGCCTTGGGGCGGAGGCTGTCCCGCCTGCCCGTCCCTCTTCTTCTCAACCACTGGCGGTGGCGCGGCTGCTTCTGCACTGGCTGTTGAGAGTTTCCTTCAGAGGAGTTTGGAGGCGGCCAGAGAGCTGCAGGTTTCTGGACGTTTCTCCCAGTCCCTGCCGAGCGAGGCGGCCATGGGGTTGCCGGCGGTCTTGCTGTTGCTGGGCTGTTACAGCGCGGCGCTGGTCTCTCTCTTGCTCTCCCTTCCCTCCGCGCAAAGTGGTAGGTGGCGCCCGGTTCTCGCCAGCGAGGAGTCGAGTTTGGGGTGGTCTCTGTGGGGGAAGGTGGTTCAGCCATTTTTGCGGGCAAAAATACCAGGGGTTTCTGAAATTCACGTGGCTGGTGCTGCGGCGGGCCTCCTAGCTCCGTTCCCCACCGCACAATCAGAGCGACCATTCGCCGACGTCCGTGGGTTTAGAAGCGTGTAACTCACGCTGTTGAGGATTGTGCTCTGCAAGTGAGTTGAGAAGCCGTCTTCGTGGGCGGCTGGGTCCCGAGTGTGACTGAAGCGCTGTTCCGCTATTTGTTGTTGTTGTTGTTGTTCAGTCGCACAGCCGAGTCCGACTCTTCGCGACCCCATGGACCAGATCACGCCAGGCCTTCCTCTCTTCCGCCTTATTCCACTATTTACACATAGGTAAAACTGACCCTGGAGCGCGGTACGCGGGTGCAAGAAGTGGCACTGCAGCCCGCGGATTATCTTTGCCTATATATAATAACTCCTATGTATGTATCCGCTGACTGAGAACGGGGTTCGTGGCTCTGACGACGAAGAGACCCCAGCCCGCAAAAGTTTTATGTTGCGTTAAACTTAATGTACCAAAAGACTCTAGAGAGTAAATTCCCTGGATGTTATTCTTTAGACTATAAGGCATCAGTTTGGGATCAGCTGGAAGCAAGAGGCACCCGGGCCGTCCCCCCCTCCCCCACCCGCCGTTGCTTTTTCCAGGGAGGAAGGGTCTCAGCTGCTCTGCTCCTCGCGGGGTTTTTTTGTGTTTTGTCTTTTTTTTTTTGGTTTTGTTATTTTGCTGTCAGGTCATAGTCGATTAATGGCGACCCGGTAGAGCTTTCAAGGGAAGAGAGGCTCTCAAGGTGGTTTGCCATTGTCTGGCCCTGTGTCACAACCCTGGTATTTCAAGGAAGTCTCCCATTGACATCTGGAACTCTCCCGCAAATCGATCAAAGAACTTTAATGTTCGGTTGCAGTTTTTTTAATTGATGACCCGATTGTATTTCACACCAGAAAAATTGCACAAGATATAGCTGACATTAAGCTCACATTGCTGGAAGAAATGCGGTCACACAGGCTCATATTTTCATTGTTGGTGGGAGTGCCCGGTAATTCATTCGTTTTGGGAAGAGGTGTTAGGAAGAATAAGTGACATTACATCATTAAATCTACCAGTTTGCCCAAAATTATCAAAGGCCCATGAACGATTTGTCGCAGTGTGGTTCAGAGTGCTTCAGTATATGTCAGAGAAGAACATAATTCCGTCTAAGGCTGCTTATATTCCTTGGATACGTTTTTAATCTTACACTGGTTTAGGCTAGTAGGACACAATACTTTAGTTCGATCACCACTTGAGTAGTCGGGGCTCCTTGTGTCATTCATTAGCATACAAACGGAAAGACGGTGTTTAAGGTTTTTTGCTACGTAATTTGTTTGGGTTAGGCTGTGTTTTTAAGTTTTTGCTTTGGATATTCATTCAATGTATCAGCTGGTTCTTGTGACATGTTTGAATGCACTGTTATGTTGTTTTATCCTTTTTAATATTAATAACATTAAATTAAAAAAAAGAAAAAGAAAAAAACTTAGGGCCACCTTTGACACTATGCTGCATGGCCATCAAAACTAACATTACAGAAATTCCTTGATTTCTGTATCAGCCATAGTTAGCAGACAGATTTCTTGTTTGTTCCATTTCATATATTAAGCTTTCATTACAACCAAAACATCTTGAGAAGCTTATATTTTACTTGTGTCCATTAAAAACTTGAGTAAAGGGGGGGGGAAGGAAGTCTCCCATCCAAATACTTGCCAGGGTCGACCCTACTTGACTTCCGGGACCTGAGGAGATCAGGCTAGCCTTGCTGTGTTGGAAGTGAACAAACCTGCTGAAACAAAGCCCAAGGGGGTGAGAAGGGGAGGAGGAGGAGCAGTCTTTGTGAAGGTGTTGTTTTTGTCAAAAAGTTATTAAAAGTGGGAGCATGGTCTTTAGTTGTGCTCTCTCCCATCAAATCCCCAGGGGGGGTTAAAATTGTCTTTAATAAGTCACAGTTAATTCCATATATGACCTCAGGCGGGCAAGGAACTGCTTGAAACAGATAAGAAATCCCTTTCCTGGAGCTCAGTCTCTGGAAGTGGCCTGTGTGAGTCAAGCAGCAAAACAGCAGGATTGCAGCCAAATACAGCAGTACAAAACATGGGAGGCCTGGAACATGGGATCGTTTCCTTACTCTTTGTATATCAGAACAAAGTTTGAGTCCAGTGGCTCCAATGAGTCCAGTTTTGTTTCTTTTATTATTATTATTTATTTAAGTTTATACCCAGAATCAGCGCCCCCTATTGAATCTTCAGCGCCCCCACCGCTGCCTTCCCCCCCCCAGAAGAGTACTTTGCCTTTTAAAATCCACGCTGGCCCTTGTAATCCTTCCTTCATCTTCCTCCCATTGGGAGAAGGAAAGAAGGATTACAAGGGCCGGCGTGGGGGGGAGGGAGCCTGGGGTGCGTGGCACTACCTTGCCTTTTAATCCATGCCGGCCCTTGTAGTCCTTCTTTCCTTCTTCCTCCTCCTGTTGGTGGTGGTGGGCGGGCGGAGGAAGAAGAAGGAAGGGAAGGGAAGGAAAGGTGAGGTAGCACCGCATGCCCCAAGCTCCCTCCTCCCCTCCAGAGATGTACCTGGCCTTGTGGGGCTGGCCCAAAGCGATTCCTGTTACAGGAATCGCTTTGGGCCAGTGCAGCTCGTCACTAATTTAATTAGTGCCCCCAGGAAGCCCGTGCCCCCCAACAAATAAATTCCAGGCTGCCCGGAATACAACTTTGTTGGTCATAAAGGTGCCACTGGACTCAAACTTTGTTCTGCTGCTTCAGACCAACATAGCTACCCACGTAAATCTGTCTTTGTATATCAGTTGTTTGCTGTGCTTGGTTAATTCAGCTGAAAAAGTAATATTAGTTTAGTAAACTTTTTTCTTGGTTATCTTTGGGAATAAACACATAGGTATTCAATAAATATCATGTGATCTATGTTTCTGAATGTTTTAAGTTCCCTCTGTGGTAGAAATCTAGCATATTCACTTTCAGAGATTACTGGATTTACTTTTTGTTAACAGTGTGGAGATGTAGGAAGGAGCGAGTCTTTCTTGTTGTTTATCTAATCCTCCATTTTTGTTGCACTTCTTGTACTGCTGATAAATGGGCAAAATGTTGACTAGAAACTTGGAGCTGCTCTTGATGAGTCAGTCCTTATCATGTTTAATTCTTGAGGATCAAGTTGAACTTTGTGGGCTTCAAGGTTTATTTTGTTTTGGTTTTGTATTCCAGAGTTTGGTTTTTGTTAAGCATGCTGGTGGAAAGAACATTTCCTCTGTAAACTCTTCAGTTCAGGGATGTCTTTCAAGGTAGCAGTTATGTTTCATATCAGGATAGGAAAGGTGATTTCACATTACTCTTCTTTCATGGAGCAGTGAGTTTGATAATGATTTCTATGATATAGGAATCTCCACAAGGCTGAAGTCAGTTCCTGGTTCCTTATTCACATTTCCTAGTCCCTTATTCATGAAATCCAGCACCAAATATTGAGGATACTTAAAGCTTTGTATGCAAAAATTACCTTTGGACCACCACATATCATACACCCCCACATTCAAAGGTCTCTGCCCTACAAGTGGACCTGTGATGTACCCTGGTCCACAACAAAATATTTGTGCTAACTGTTCCAAAGTGAGATGCCCCCGGGACAAATGTTGATTAAGAAACTGGGGGGTAAGCTGTTCCCCAAGATAATCATTGGGCCATCCTGAATCACATATCCCCAGACTGTGGAGACTATTCCCTACAAGAGACATGCCCTGGTGCCCAGTACAAACATTGGTTCTGGTGCTAAGAGCTTCCCCTAAGAAGCTGATAGGGTTACATTGGAAAGATGGTTTGCATAAGGAACTGGAACAGTTGCATGCTGCCTGCTCCCCAAAACAAGCTTTGGGCTATTGCAAATCAGTCTTTTGAGTCTGGGGGTATATGGTTTGATCCTATCGTAGGGGCACCCCAAATAGAAGCCTTTGGTGCCAGAACCAGTTTCTGGACCAGGCACCAGTACATGATCTTTTGCAAGGGGACAGTCTCCAGAGTGTGTGCGTGCGGGTGTATATGCTTTGGGGAGGTCCAGAACTTAAGGGTTCAGCTTTCTCCAGTTTCTTAAGCTTTTTTTTGTCCTGAGGTTACCCCACTTTGGAGCAGTTAGTGCCAACCCTGGGCTGTTAGAAGCTATTGCAAGTGGGGAGAAGAGGGGCTGTCTCAAGTTCTGAATGCTGCCAATTTCCCACCAGAGTTCTGAATGTTCCCCTCCCCTATTTATAGTGGGTATATGGCCCTGGTTTAGAATCACTGGGGTAGAATATAACCTGAGATATATTTTTCTCCCAATGAATCATCAGGGACAGAATCTTGGGAAGGGTGGAATTAGTGCAGAAGCTATGAGAACTATTTCTTGGAGATTCTCAGAGGATCAATCTGGTCTCATTGCACATGGAATTTGGGAAATAATGTTTCTTCTGGTCAAAGAGGCTGCCAAGTGTTTTACTTTCCCCCTTTTTTACTTGAGATATTTTAGTCTGTTACAAAATGTATCGCATTGCCCATTGTTTCCTTGCTCTATGCTGATATTCTGGGAAATACAGTGTGACGTTCCAGTATTTCTCGAATTGATCTGCAGCTGTTGCCATAGATGAGACCACCTCGTTTGTAGTCCAGATGACTATGCAGCAAACCACTGCCTTGGCCCCATCAGTAATCTGCTTTACATTTTTGAAATTATGTCTTCGACACTTAGCAGTATGAGATTAGGGTATTCTGCATTAGTACAAGATTCTAACTGGTAGAGGACTTTCAGTTCCCTATGAAAGATAAAGAATGATTCCAAGCAAGTCTGCTCAAAATCCTACTTAGATGTGGGGCTTACTCCAAAAAAATGTTTTTAGGATTGCACTATTAGTATGCCATGATATTGTAATGATCTTGACTTAATTGGCCTTTTTCATACTCCTGGTTTTAAAAGCCCATACCCCCCTTTTAAGAATCCAACAAAGTGTGTATGGAATAATTGTTACCAATGCAACAAACGCCGCGTAACGTTTCCTGCTTTCCATCCATTGTTCAATCTGCCTTAAGGGCCTGTGAATTTCTTTAAAGGAATTTCTAACCAACAACAATTCCAGTCTTTTCCCTTTGTTAGCATGGGGAATACATTGGTCTGCAGTGCAACAGTTAGATTCGAGTCTAGTAACACCTTAGAGACCAACTAGAGTTTCAGGGTTATAACCTTTCAAGAGTCAAAGCTGCCTTCATGAGACACAAGAAATGGAGATCTCTGAGTCCTTTTATCCTAGTCAGTGTTGTACCTTTGTACCCTTTAGAAGCATGTTTACACACCCCTCCCACCTTCTGACTACAATAAAAGTCTGGAGAAGTGAGCTTTGACTCTCAAAAGCTTATATGTTGAAACTTTCAGTCTCTTGAGGTGCTATTGGACCCGGATCTGTTATAGTTTCCCTGATGTGGCTTTTCACAAGCTTGTGTCTCATTTGGTCCATGTCACAGGGAGTGGGACATGGCATTTTCTTGTGTCCTAGATGTTACAGCTTCTAAAGGGATAAATCCTTCCTTCTCATTTGCTTACTGATGCTTGTACAGTATAAGAATATTGGGCTACAACTGTTCCAGAGCCTGGGGAATATATGGTGGCATCATTTTGAGATGGCCTGAAACAAAGGATTCACTCAGCATGAAAATCCTGGGCTTGGTATCCCCGTGTCACCAAGTCATGTATGAAGGCATCCACTTAAGTAATCTTGTATCTTTGCTATTTTTACAGTTTCATAAGAGTTTAAGCTTTAAATCGGTACTGTTTATATCCACATTTTATGAGAGAGCCTGCCTAGATCGTTCAGTTACTTCCAGTGGACTTCACATCGGGATTAAGGAGGAGGATTTGGAAACTTGGATCAGGCAGGCATGTGGTTTATGTTTGTTTTCGAGTATTTGCAGTTGTTCATAATAAACATGGTGGTGGCAGTTATGAAATATCAGTCTTTGTGAATAAATTAAAGTGCAGGGACATGTACTTATAAGTAAGATTCATACTTTCACTGTGTGTGGAGCATTTAAACAGGAAATCAGCTAGTTTTGAGGAATAAAAGCTTTTATCAGTTACATAGAAAAATCACTGTTCTATTTCTGGCTTTGTTTATGAATGTTGATGAATGGCCCCAAAAAAAGTCTGTGGTCCTACTGAACTTGCCTATCGAGGCCGTAATACTGTGAGGCTGGATAAAAGTCATGTGATACTATAATCTATTCTTTTGGAGCTCAAATGCCATTCTCTTCATTGGTTTGAATGAGCTTTCTTCTCTTGGCTATTCATTACATGACCGAGTTAGTAAACACTCTACATTGCGATAGATCCAGTATCTGAGGAAGTGTGTGTGCGCACGAAAGTTCATACCTTGAATAAAACTTTGTTGGAGAGTGCCATGACTGGACTCAAACTTTAGTCTACATTGTGAATTGCCTTAAGAAACACAGTTTCTCATGAGGTAGTTTTAATGTAAAATGCATGCATAGCTTTTCACAAATGACAACCTAAATATTACATTGGCTGGAACAGGGGTTGTTTTTTTTAATGAAGCTTAGATTACTGAAGCACATTTCTCCTTCCCTGTTGCTGAACCTTTTATTTTCCTGTCATTACACAAGGGTGCTGACATGTCAGTGGATAGGAAATCACGAAGAATATCCAGCTGGAATTTAGCACTGGAATCTGTGTATGTGGTTTTTGGGTTTATTCTTTCTTTCAAGCAGCTCATTTTGTAACAAGACTGAAAAAAGTGGATTCCCACTGCAATCTCTGCCCTAATGAAGATCCCCTTTTCTTTCTGCTGATAGGAGCCAGAGGCACCACAGGTCTAGACTGGATGGCCCCTCACAGCTCATTAGCAAAGCTTCTCCAGCATCCCTGAGATACGTTACCTCTGTTGTACTGCGAGCCCTGCTTGCTATCCAGTTTGAGAAGTGATATCTGCCAGGGATCAAACCCCTTAATGCCACTTATTAGGATTAACCAAAATATTATGAAACAGGTTAAAGTGGCCCGGTTTGCTACAGTTTGTCACTAAGTAGGTGTTCAGTTTTTTAAAAAGAGAGAGGGAGAGAACACTTCAGGTCATGGGGGGACAGTCCCTATGCCTGAAGATTCAAGAGCCTTAAGATGGAAAGCAGGGTCTGTTGCAGTTTTTACTGGATTGGTTGTTGTTATGTGCAAACGGATTTCAGGTACCATCAAGGATTGTTGGACAGAGAAGCAATGGCCACCCTCACTCCTTGAAAATATTAACAATCAGGTATCTCCCCAGACCTAATCACAATACACAGATCCCTTGTAAGGCAGAGAGCAAAAGAAAACCATAGTCATTCTTACATTAAATGTAAGCATTAATGTCAGGAAATGCACTAGATCAGTGATGCCCAGCATGGCACCTGCTCATGTGTTTCCTGGTTCTCACTTCTTTCCTTAAATGAAAGATCCAGTCTTCTACCTCAGTGAAGCAGGAGGTCCATCCGAAGATCCCAGGAGGAATCACCTTTGTGTATGCAAGGACCATAATTTGGAAATAGATGCCCACATCCAGCCCCATACCAAGAAAAGTTTTGTTGGGTGCACCAAGCTGCCACCTGGGGAGGGTGGAATTTGGTGTGGGGAGGGGAGGGGAAGGGCTGTCCGGAGCCACAGACCCACCCAGGACCTGCCTCAGCTTGTCTCCCAGCCCACCTCTGCCTGCCTGCCTGGTTTCCTGGGCAGCAGCACTGGGGGGGGGCATGCCCAACGAGGAGGAGGTGGTGCCTGCACACGGCACTGCAGCACCACTTTGCTGCCTGCCACCATCACCTGTATATGATGCAGTAGCGGGGCGAACGGCGAGGCAGCCCCGGCCTTGCACAGCACCCTGTCACGCTCATCTCCCTCCCCGCCACCCTCCTTCCTGCTGCAGGCAGGCAGCACAGAATGAAGAGTGGGGAGTGACAACCTGTGGCTGCCGGGTGCGCTTCACAGACTGGCCTCTCACCCCGTTCCTCCAGTGGTGGGGAGTCTCCCTGCATGCCTTTGCCTCCTCCTTCCTCCGCTGGCCAGTAGGACCCAGAGCACCTGCACTCTGCCTGCAGCTGCCCAGGGCTCTACCAGCACTGCCTCCCTCCACCTGCCCAAGCTGGCCTTACCTGGTAATCACACTGGCAGCAAACAAGCGTGGGTTGAGAGATGTGCTTCCCCTCCCCCGGCAAGCCAGGCGGGCACTTCAGAAGGGGGAAGGGGAGGCACAGCTGTTTGGGGAGGGTGCCGGGTTGTTTGGGGAGGGTGCCGGGCACTCGTAGGCACCCCTGTGGGTATGGGCCTGCCCACGTCATAGGAAGATACTTGGCTTGGAACCTCTAAATGTTAATTTGATTGACTCCATGGCACTGAGGGTGTCAGGGGACTTGGTGAGGTACCCCCTCACCATCACCTCTACCATATCCTCCACCATCGCATGCCTGGCATCCCTACCGCTGCCGACCTCCTGGTTCACTGCTGACAGCCAATAGTGGGGCTTCTCCCTGGTTGGGCTCTTTGAGGCAGAGGTGCTGGGCTGGGTCTCCTCCCCAGCCTCTTCCACTCGCTGTTTCCTCTCGCCATGTCTGTTGGCCTGTAGCCTCCACAGTCTTTGCAGAGCTCATGCTTCCCTTGCAAGAGCTTTGCATTCAGGAGAGCAATGCTGCCTTTTATCCATGGGTCACAGATACAGGCCAGCTAGTACTCCTCTTTATTGTAGAGAGGATGCAACCTGGTGCTGATGCCCACCTGCAGCCTCCTCTTTGACAAGGACCTGACCTGTGGGAGAACAGCCAGCTCCAGTGAGGAAGCCAGCACCCAATCCAGCCCTTGAATCAGGGGGGTGACTTGCCCCAGGCACACAGCACGTCGGTGTTGTCCTAGAAGGACTTGAGGACATGCAGCATCTGGGAGAGGGTCAGCCAGTTCTTGGAGCGGATGCTGAGCTCCTCTTCCCCATGCATGATGGTCATGGAGGAGGTGACATCCTGCAGTGCTCTCTTCTGCTCCACCAAATGTGCAATCATGGTGTAGGTGGAGATGGGCAGACTTGATGCTGCACCAGAAATGGGCAGCCAGGCACTGGCAGGTCAAGCCCACATCTGGGGGGGGGGGGGCAGCAAGATCACAATGATTATGCAGCATAAGTTGCTGTATCAGTCCTTTCATCTATAGCTATGCTTCTTTTGAATGTTAGCAACAGCTTAGCAGTTTCTTGTGTTGTAAGCAAAGCTCTGAACTCTGCAGTAGTAGCACCCATTGCCAGCCAATGACTAGTCAGAGTGATATATGCACCAGAGTACTTGGTAACAGTTATACAGGAAGTTGTTTACATTATGTTTTATTGATACTTTATGTACTTATGGTTTATATGGCATTTTAAACCTTAATATTGGTACTGAAAGGTTTCCAGTTATATACAAATTTTAATGTGATGTGTATATATTTGTTAGTATAGTGTATGCTATTTGGAATGTCAGTTTAATGTTACATACCCTGTTTCCCCGAAAATAAGACCTACCCAAAAAATAAGCCCAAGTAGGTTTTCTATGCATTTGTGGTATAAGCCCTAGTGTGTCTTCTTGAGAAAAAATAAATATAAGACAGTGTCTTATTTTCGGGGAAACACGGTAGAAGTGACTATAATAAAATATAAGGACAAAAAAGAGTATACTAAATTTAGAAGAGATCTAAAGAACAAGAAAAACAATGTCAGTGTGAATTAAGTGAAACTCCATTTCCTGAGTTCTTCTCCAACCCACAAAAGTTTTGAAGTTCACAGAAAACATCTAATGTGTGTAATTTTTTTCTTGATTTTTTTAGGATTACTTCCCAAGAATGATAGTCTCCAACCAAAAACATTTGTCTATTCTTCGAGCGATGAAACAGTTGAAAACTTTTCATGGGATTACACAGACTCAGAAGCTGAAAATGAATTGGATGTTGGATCGGGATCCATAAATCAAAGTAGGATAATTGGAGCAATTCGGAAACAGTTGCCTAAACATATTTCCAGAGCTGCTGAGGAATACCTGACTAGCCCATGGCTAACCCTTTTTGTTCCTTCAGTCTATACACTCGTAGTCGCACTGAGTCTTCCCCTGAACATCATGGCGATTCTTATGTTCCTGATAAAAATGAAGATTAGAAAGCCAGCTATTGTGTACATGCTCAACCTGGCGTCTGCTGATGTACTCTTTGTGAGTGTGCTACCTTTTAAAATATCCTACCATTTTTCTGGAAACAACTGGGTATTTGGACCAGAAATGTGTCGTTTTGTCACCGCTGCCTTCTACTGCAACATGTACTGTTCCATACTGCTAATGACGGCAATAAGCATTGACCGGTTCCTGGCAGTGGTGTATCCAATGCAGGCTCTGTCATGGCGCACTCTAGGGCGTGCCTCTATGGTGTGTTTTACTATCTGGGTTGTAGCCATAGCTGGGGTTATACCTCTGCTTATCACAGAACAAACAAAGAGAATACATCACTTGAACATTACAACCTGTCATGATGTGTTGGATGAACTCGATCTTAAAGGGTATTACTTAATTTTTTTTACGGTTTTTTCTTCCCTTTTCTTTTTGGTGCCATTCATTATTTCTTCTGTCTGCTATGTGTGTATCATCCAATGTCTGAGCTCTTCTGATATTGTTGCAAAGAAGAGCAAAAAGACCCGGGCTTTACTCTTGTCTGTAGCGGTTTTCTCCATTTTTATAATATGTTTTGGTCCCACAAATGTTCTGTTATTAATTCATTACATACATTTTTCTTACAATGAATTCTTGGAGAACATCTATTTTGCTTACCTCCTCTGTGTCTGTATTAGCAGCATAAGTTGCTGTATCGATCCTTTGATTTATTACTATGCTTCATCTGAATGTCAGCGACAACTTAGCAGTTTGTTGTGTGGTAAAAAGAGTTCTGAACCCTGCAGTAGCAGCATCAGTGGCCAGTCAATGATCAGGACCAATCGAAGAGATACATGTACCAGTACACTTGGAAATAGTGTCTACAGGAAGCTATTGACATGAACCTTTGTAGACAAATGTACATTTTGTGCACTTTTGGTTTGTACAACATTTTTAACATTATTGTACTGAAGAATATCCAGTTATGTACACATTTCAATATGATCAGTACGTACTTGCTAGCATAATGTATGCCATTATGACCAATGTAGTATTTCAATTGTGAGGACCTTAGAGTGGGGATAGTAGAGTGGAACAGCACATCTGTGTGGATTCTGTTCCCTGACTTACATAAGTTCTCTGTGGAATCCAATTACACTGAAAATCAGGCTACTCCAGTGTCAGAGGCTACAGAAAACTATGTTTTGTTTTCATTGCAATACGTGACACGCACACCCCGGTGCAAAAATTTACTTTTCTGTAGGCATAAATAACAAACATTTCTGTGGGTGAATGTAAATGGATCTATTTGCAGTTATCAAATGCTAAATCTGTTACCTTGTGGTCAGTCGTTAGGCTCAAACTTGATCCTGTCTTTATATAGCACTGCCCCTTTATTTCTATTGCAGCCTTCTGGGTTCTAGTTTTGGTTCATGTGATAGAATATTACTAACAGCCTTTACAGCATTTCATTGCATTATACCTCAAAACAACTCATGAGTCTTCAGGTTTGTATATGCCTGTTAGGGTGGGCAAGTAAGGAAGGATAAAGAACTGAAGAGTTTCAGCATGTCTCAGCGAGAAAGACCCAGGTTTACAGAAGTTTATTTTATGATGCTGTTTTCCACTTTTAAGCATTGGACTCACTTCATACAGATTATTTTTTAGAACAGAAACCTCTAGCAAGTTGGCTTACATTTTATCCTTGGTTTTGCAGTTATGAATTTTCTGCTGTAGTTCACAGCATTTCCAAAACCAAGCAGCCACTGTAATAGTTAGGGGGTTAGAGTAGTCTTTGAGAGACCCAGGTTTACATCTCCACTGTGCTGTGGAAGCCTACTGGGTGACTCTCAACCTAACCTGCCTCATAGGGTGGTTGTTGTGACATGTTATTTTATAGTGTTTATTTTATTACAGCAACAATGTGAATGCTGTTTCCACTTACAAACAGAGAAGTGAGGCTGAAGGAGGATGACTTGTTCAAGGGTGGCCCAGTAAGTTCATGGGTGCAATAGATATTGAAGTTAGGCCTCCAGTGTGCCAGTCAGGCACATTTTCTATTACCATATGGGATATATCTGAAATTAAAAGGTAATATTTTTCATGTGATTTTTCAGCCACATTCCATGTACTTTATGCTACTACTACATTCTTTTTGTCTTGATCCTTCTCATTTTAACATCTGCAAATACTTTTTTAATATATGACTCAGTTTTCGTGGTTTGGTATTGTCATATAAACATCAAGTTGCACAACTTTTTTAATTGTCAAGAGCAATGAACTTTTGACTTCTGAATTAAACCATGTTTTATAAGAAATTCCGTTCTAACAGTTCTAAATGCTAGTGCTGGTTTATATATATATTACATGTACACTGAATATCCTGAAGCTACATTTATATTAATGTAAATCCACCAGTGTGAAACACTGATTAGTAGAGATGGGCACCGGCCCAGACTTCGCCCAGTTCAGAGTTTGCGAGCTGAGGTCCAGGGAAGGCACCTTCCCCAGACACTCACCCAAAGTTTTTCAGGCAGGCTCAGAAACACATTCAGCCTGATGTATGCACGCCACTTTCAGGTGGCATCGGGCCCCGCCCCAGCATGTCCGCATTACCCAAAAGTGACACAAGTGCATCACCAAGCATGCTTGTGTCACTTCCGGACAATGCGGGCATGCCAGGGGGCAGGGTCCAACACCACCCAGAAGTGGCAAGAGAGCATTGCTTCTGAGTAAGGTTGGCACACTGGGGTGGGGCCTGACGCCACCCAAACTGGTTCTGTTCAGGCGGGGTTTGGAGCTCAGGAGTTCAGTTTCCCAGTCTGTGTCCATCCATACTGATTAGATTCCAAATTCATCCACATAGTTCGGCATACCCAAATAGCTGGAGAAATCGTAGGCCGAGTTCAGACTGGCAGTTTGAAGCGGGAGGGAGTTGTAACAAAAAAGACCCGGAACAAACTATTCTGGGTTTTCCGGTCACACTGCACCGACTGATGTGGAAGCATACCGGGGAGGAGGTGCAAGGGAGTGTTCACACTGTTGGCCCGACCCTGGTGGAGACATGGCTGTAAGGCGCGGCTTTCTTTTTTGTAATCTGGAAATATGCGCATAAGTGCATAATTGCACAAGAAAAACACGGCTTTTGGCGTTCACACTTTGTTGGTGTGGGACGGATGCGGGCTAATCGTGCTTTCCAGGGTTTGATACCACTTTCACCAGGTATCTTTTAAACTCAGGAGCGAAGCGTTACAAGTCGGGTTGAGTACAGCTGGGGAATGCCAGACAGATGTGCCTATGTGAACTGCCCCTTTAATCTGGTTGTGGAACGTTTCTGAAATGTGCATATATCAGGGCAAACTGCCAGTCTGAACTCAGCCATAGATAGGAAAGTATTCTTGTTTCATAGTGAAATGAAGAAGAGGAGATTGGATTTATACTCCACCCTTCACTACCCAAAGGAGTCTCAGAGCGGCTTCCCTTCCTCTCCCCACAACAGACACCCTGTGAGGTAGGTGGGGCTGAGAGAAGTCTGACAGAAACTGCTCTTTTTCAAGAACAGCTGTGCCAGAGTTATGGCTTGCCCAAGGTCACCCAGCCAGGTGCAAGTCGAGGAGTGGGGAATCAAACCCGGTTCTCCCAGATTAGAGTCCGTGCACTTAACCACTACACCAAACTGATATATGCTGATATATGGCTGCAGTGAATGCAGTAAAGTATGATCAGGACATTCACTTGAAAGCAATTCGGTAGGAGCACTGTGCTCTCAGTTCTTTCCTAATTTTTATAACAGCATATCTTTAGAACACCCTGATTTATTATTTGTAGAGCCATTTGCTTTTGAAGGAAGTTTTTCATCTATAATTCCGTTTCATTTATTTTTTGTTTTTTAAATCTATTTTTGCCCTAAAATGAGTTTAACATTTGGTCATATATATCAGTGGCAGGGGAAAGAATATAATCAACATGAGGATTATACTGTAAAGTTAAAACTGAACCAAAATTTGAAAATAATCTCAA